CCCCCCCCCCATCACAACCACCACCACCACCCCGCCAGCTTCCCCACAAGCGCAGTGCTCACTGATTCTCACTCTAAACAATCCTCAGTCCGGGCTGGCTTTAAGGCAACATGCTACACAGATTAAAGATTTGGCTTTTTACAAGAAGACGAGGTGCTTCTGTAATCATAGCAACGGTATGTAGGCCACAAAGTGCTACCAAAAGCTAGTGATGCCCTCCCTGGAGCGTTCAAGTCTCAGGCTTGCAGGATTTTTATCGACTGTCGCTGCTTCGCTTCATAGCAAGTCTCCCTATGAATTAAAATTAAAAATGGCTGACTCAATATCAGCAATAAACCAAATATATTAAAGTGTGGGATGTGGCCGGCAAAGAATCATTACCTGGCGCATTTATATTAAACAGTGTCGCTTCCAGCAAGCTGCTGAAGGTATTTTCTGTTTGTTTTTCATTCTTTCTGTATTTTTTTACGGACTTACTTGGATATGCAGGAAAATATATGTTGACGGGAACATTTAATAGTGGGTTATTTACGAGGGAATCAGAGGGTCAAGTTCTGGTCTAAGTGGCACATCTGCGAAACATTGAGGCTACTAATTCACCAAAGGCTGTACGGCTTTTATTGTAGACATATTGGGGAATTAGTAAGAGTCCGCGTCCCCCTTTCGCAAGGGGGAGGGGGCCTGATTATATCATGATGTATTGCTGGCTACACGTTCAATCTGTAACACTGCAGCTAAAACGAGAAGGCGAAAAAAAATCTAACAAAACAATCTAGCCATCCATTATGAAGAAAAATAGGAGCCATGCTGGGAAATTAGGTAAATAAATTCTAAATTAGAAGAATATTAGCCACAACATCATTCACACAGCTCCACGCCTGTCTGTTCTCCTGTGCAATTAAATTAAAACAAATTCACATTTGAACATTTGTCGCTTGTGGTGCAGTTTACACATGTAAAATTCCCTCTTGTCCTCTCTTATCTTAGTAATAACTTCGATATAGTAAGACTGGGCTCCGCGCAATATTTAATCGAAAGAATGATATGAGGAGTCCCAGCTTTATGTCATAAAACTGTCCTGAATGTACTAAACGTTACGTGTGCTAGTTCATCAACTCCTCTTCCCTTTAAAGCGATTCCACATTTACAATAGACCTACATCTCACATGTCATTGCAGGAAGGCTGATTTTTTTTTTCACGTATCATACTTTGACTGGTTATACAGTGCGTACGGTATTGCGTCGGAAATGTTTCACTCAGCGCAAACTGTTTGCTAAATGATTGCCGCTGCAAAAACATGAAACTTTAGAGGAACTGGCAAGTAAATCAGACCTATCACTTTTACCTCAGGAGAAATTATTACAGCGTTCAAATAGCTTCCTCATTGGAAACGCTATCACTTGTAAGTGTTATTTTTCAAGTTTTAGACATATCCCAATATGTAATCATTGCAAACAATGCAATGAAAAAAGTGCTCGATTAAAAGAAAGTACTTCCTTGGAAAAAAAAAGTGAACAGGTTGATATTTTAATTCACTGTCAGTGATTGGATGGTGACAGATCAGTATTCGAGTTAGTTGTGTATATGTATTAATCTATAGAGGGAGCGAGAGACCGTTATTAAATACAAGCGCTGTTGACTTAGCAATGCGACTGCATTAAAATAAGCCACTAATAAAATTGAGCTCAGCATGATGCATAATTGCAACAGAATGTTTTCAAATAACATTTAAAGAGAGAGTTGGTCATGGAGCCAGAGTCACAGACTGGCTGCTGTGTACTTGAATTGCTCCGGCACCATTGAAGAAAACCCAGGTGTTAGGATTTTCCCCTACCACCTCTCCCTGACAACATTAAATCCTATACTCAGGTTAAGTTTTCCACATGTGAAGGTAGGGAAGATAAAAAAAAAGGTCGCATCAATCACACCATGGCCCAAACCACATCTCTGCCTACAGACCCAGAGTGGCGTATGCAAGAAGGAAATCTTCTACATATTTATTGAAACGGATATGTCCACATGCATCACTCCGTAGAGGATGTCTTTAAAAATGTGTTGACGTCACTGTTGGTGATCAGACTGTATAGAAGGAGGAATCTCCTGACATTCCCACTGACTGTTAAAGGTTTGACTCTGTTTACGCTCGCTGTAGTAAGACTACAGAGAAACTCCAGTCGACACCATCTCCTGTGGCCCTCAGATCTTCAAGTGAATCTTCCCCATTCTCCCCTTATTCCATTTTCTCCTTCTTCTCATTTATTTTACCATTCACTGAACCCAGGTCTTAAAAATAAAAGCACACATTCCTCCATCTCCCTCCTCTTAACTTCTCTCATTAAAGAAAACTCTTTGGAGTACTAGAACGGTTTACAACATTAATTTATACTTCTAAAGAAAAATATGTATTCTTCTGAATTCACTTAGTAGCTGTTCTATGACCATGGAGCTAAACAAAATCATTTGTTCTTCACTTTTGCAACTTCCACCTCTCTCTCTCTCACGTACACAAACATACAAATATCACTGAGATGCAAATGCCACGTGTTGATACATTTATACTTAATGACAGCCCAAATCCAATCTCAAAAGAAATAAAACTCTTACTTTTTGCAGACATTCCCCTCTGGCCGCTGCCTCCTTTAATTATGTGTGCTAGATTTCTTCCCTGTGAAATAAAAAAATGCCTGGGGTTTTGGATGGAATCTTGGTGCTGTGTTTTTTTTAAGAAGAGACTACGCTCCCCTTACCCAAAGGCTCTCAGTTAAGTGCAGATTGAGACATATCGGGTTCCTTATAAAAGGATCATTTCATGTGGGAGGTTGGACACAAAGTTTGGACTCGTGACTTGCATTCCTGAGCGACATGCATATTTTAAAACAACAAAGCAAACGAGGAGCAAGGCTTAGAGAAAAAGGGGGAGAAAACTTGGAAGAGAAATTTCTGAGCGATAAGAATCTCTGTTTCTTTCCGAGGACCCTAAGTAACGTGCACAGCACAGTTGGTAGAATTCTGCCTCAATGACAGGACGATTGCTTTATTTACCCAAAGATATTATGTACTGTTAGGACCAACAACAGTTTGCGTAAAGAAAGGACAGGACAAAATAAATTGTTTACAAGTACACGGTTGGGCTGACTATGTGTTTCAGCACAATATGAAGCATCTTCCCAGACGCTGCATAATGCTGCTGACTTAGTTTATACTAATCCTGTCGTTACGTAATAAGTGCGGTTATTAATGAGAAATCAAATGAAGGGAAACTCAGACGAAACAGTGATAGCTGAAGAAATGGGCAGCGTCACACAGCGTGTGAAACCACAATTTAATGCCTGGTGCCAAAAAAAAGCCCTGATTGCTTTATTCATTTCATTCATTTAACATGTGATTATCAGCCTAGACACTAGAAACGACAGATCCAGGCAAAACATCATGTTGGCCACATAGTCAAGTGTTCTGTACACCTCAACAACACTGCCGTGTTCTCCTCCGAACTTCATCGATTATTATTTCTACCATAAAACACTATTTGTGACATGTGTGGAAATTCGAGCCCCCGCAGAAAAAAAAATAAAGACGAAATGAGAGAACAAACAGTGAGGACATAGATATCTCTGTTAGTTGTCAATGCAGGTCCATGGGCCGAGAATGCTAATGAGGCTTTGCAGAGAAGACTGGAGCTGTGTGTGTGTGTGTGTGTGTGTATGCACAAGGATCGATAGCTGACCCAATGGTTTGGGCAATGCTTTATCTGGCTGAGCAATGATATTATCAACCTTGAATGTTATACACAGCAAACGTCTTCCTAAATCAACACAAGCAGTTCACTTACAGCAGCCATCCCACTAACCTCTTTAGAAAAAAAAAGCCCTTCATGGCTGTATATTTTATATTCCGTAGCTCTTATTTGATCCATTGCCTCTGCTTGATCTAGTGCTCCATAGACAAGAAGATATAAACAGCCATCATCTTGCCTGTTAACAGTCTTGTCCCTGATAGCACGACCGTGTTTGGTCTACTGAGCGACGAAAGAAAACAAACCCACATAGTCTGCTGCTTTATTTTGCAGTACAATACTTTTATTTAAATTAATTTGTCAACAATGTAAACGATGTTTAGATCAATTTTTTTATTAGTAATACATCAGAAAGTACATTTCATTGCTGAACATTTTAGAAATCTTTCCTGTTTTTAACAGTGACATTGCAGTCTCATATGCAGTTTAACAAGGCCTGCAACACGCCCACCCCGACCATCACTCCCACTCTCTCACCCCACCCCACTTCTGCCCACAGTGTTAATACAGTTGGTCCATGCTTTTAAGGGATATAAAAGGTATGATGCCATGCAAGTGATGTTGTGTATTTCATATAAGGCATCATGGAATGGGCAATGATTGATTATACCAATAACTGGACGCGATGTCAAGCTAACACAATATTTCGATTCATTAAATATTCAGGAAATGATAGAGTGTGTTTTACATTTGTCTGAGAACTGGCATAAACTTCGTATCTGTCTTAAAGTCGGTGGACTTATTTCCTAAGTGTAACAATTAAATGCACAGCGAGCCTGGTTATCTTCAATCAGAGAATACGCCGGAGAAGATTGTAATGGAATCTCTAAAAATTGACATGACAAGACTCGAGCCTGTGCACTTGTGCACTCCTTTGGACAAATAGGAAAATACCTGACGTAAACTTTTTGGGGGACGATTTTTTTTTGCTAGGTGGGTGGAAGCTGGAATTCAGATTCTTCCGTCCAGGGCTTGAAACGTATTCCCTGACAAGTGGGGATAATAAATGAGAGTCGCTTTCAGATGGATATCTCAGACGTGAAATTGCACCCAGCTGGTTGTGTAAGCAAACAAATAGTTTCATGTAAGAATCCCGTCTTGTAGGTTGATGAATAGAACACGACATCGGTAAATGGGTCTTTAACTCATTTAGGAATAAAACTCTTGGCTCTCTCAGTGAAAGACACTGAGACGCCATGTACCAAGAGCAATAGCTGTTTAAAAAACAGAGTTTTATTAGTTTCCACTCCTTCACCCATGTTTTTACCATTAAATCCAAACGTCAGTCATTTACAATGGTCACCAACCCATCAGTGCAAAATCTGAACAGGCTCTAACTTCACATCACCTATGAAGATTAATAGATTTGTTTTGTGAAAATACTTGAGATTTGGAAATGCGAGAAGCTAAATGGGAATGTATTAGAAGGTAAACATACTTCTCGTATTTGGCAAATGACATCTGCTTGTAAAATAAAACCAGCCTTTTAGACAAACGCGGTAGGGTGGGGGCGGTGTTCACTCTAAGTAGAGTGTTTTTAAAACAAACTACTTTTCAGGATTAATCTCAAACCCTCGCCTTCTCCAAAACCATACTGAATATAACACCAACGGGTTCGCTTGCAGCTTAAAAGGAGACCGATCAAATATCTTTTTAATTTGTTATTTTTAAAACGTGCTCGAACTTCGAAAGAAAAAGTGACAGAGTTAAGCAGTGAAGATGGACAGATGGAATGAAAATAAATTCATTTCACTCAACTGGAACTGTAATAAACAGTTATTTAAAAGAAATGTTTCGAACGACAGGCAGAGTGGTTCAGCCTTTTACATAGTTAGATCCCTACGGGAGTCCCTTTTTTTGATTTTTTTAAACAAACGTTGTGGTTACAGCAACAGAAAATCCACCTATGAAAGAAGAATGGACTACCTGTTTGAGAAACAGAAGTCAGGCTAAAAGTAGAGGTGGGGTTTGGGGTGTTGGAGGTTGCAAAACAGTCCAGGTGACGCGTTTAACAGCAAAACAAAAACATCAGACAAAAGCAGCGACAGAAAAATGTGTAGTTACGGGACAACACCAAAACAAAATAAAATCTGGAAAATGTCTGAAGGTTTCTTTTAGAATTAGAGGAGGAATAGGGAGATCAATATGACAAACCAGGAAAAGCAATGAAAAGGACAGCCAACAGTGCTTGAGGGAAGAATCAGACAAAACAAGAGAAAAATGCAATATGTTCAATGACAATTCGGGTATACGGGAAGAAGGAAAAGATGGAGAAAGTAGACTCCAAACCTTGTGTTAAAGGAAAACCAAACACAAACCGAGAAAAAAGACCAGCCGGCGGGTTGAGAGATTGAAGAATTATGTCTGTGATAATTCAGGACAAAGGACTGACTAGGAAAACACATGAAATCTGCGCCTAAGAGCTCAAAGCTGTCCTTGTTCAATTTTAAAATTAGAACTGTAACGGTTCATGAGGAATAATAAAACATTATTTGAAACTTGCACCTGATTTACTACAAGAACAATATACATCTGGTTTCACATTTTATTAAAAGTACATTAACGTCATAGTTAAAAACACACACCCTTTCCTGCTCTTAATTACTCGTGCTCATTTTCAGATTAATTTATGCATTGACAGCGATATAAGTCTCTCCCCATCACCTCTCCATTCTTACACTGCCTCCCAACCCCCACACATACCCATCAATAGGTCAACTTTTCATTTTCTATTGCTGAGCTGTAAAGCCCGGAATACCTTAACTGTTTCAAAATTTCTTTCTTACGTATCCTGGACCTTTTGAAATGTTTTAATGTGAGAACGCTGGAAATATACTGATAATACGCAACCGCCTTTACCTAATTGTTGGGCTATTTTTATTCGGGGTTTGCTCCTGAGGCGTAACACCAATTCTCCCTTTCATATTAGCCATGCTGTAAAGTCAATAGGTAAAAGTCACAATAATACAGCAAATTGCATCCTTTGCAGTAAAATAATTTGAATTTTTTCCAACTGTTGGAAGAATTTATTACGAAATAAATTAAGGCAGCTTAACTAAAATAGGAATAAACACATTTGCAGAGGGATTTACGTGAAACAGAGAAGTAGCATTTAAATGTAGGAAGTGTAATGCGTAGAAAATGTGGTTGATTACACCAAAATGTTATAATTTTGGTGTTAAACTCATTGTGCTATACAACAAATAAATAATTCACGTATCAATAACGAAAAGACAGCTTCTTGTATACGTAATCCATGTATTATTTAGATTATTAATACTTGACCACACACTGCAAGTTTTCAAATTTATTTAATGAATTATGGTTCCAGAAGTCAAGCAATAGACCAAGAGCCTTCTGTTTCGCAAGAATGGACTGAAACTGGGCGGCGGAAAACAAATTATAAAATAAAGTATCCAAAAGTCTTCAAAAGCCGCCATATTTGTTTGCTACCATCTGCTTTAAATGAGCCTGGCAGCACATATTATTAAAGTGCTGGATTGGCTTGCAATGTCTCCAAGAAGAAAGTATGACCTTAATAATAAATTTCGTAGTCATTACTACAACTAGATCATAACACACAGAACCAAGTGCATCACCAAAGTGTAAATTTCAGGCATCGAAAGTTTAAATCAGTATCAATTTTCAGGTTAAACATCAATATTCTACACCAGCATTCTTTGGTTTTCAGGAGGATTAATAATATTTGAAGATTTCAATTAAATACATTCCTGGGGGAGATGGGGTGGGGGACACTTCCGAACTAGCTTCTCAGTTGAACTTCTTAAAAGGTAAATTCAAATTAATAATAACAAACAAAGATAATTATCTGCAAAGAGCCTAGAAAGGATATATAGTTCAGATAGGTTCAGCGTCACAAATGTCTACACAGGTTAAAAGCAGGTGGCAGTTAAAAAAAAAAATCCATCGGTTATTAAACAACCTGAAGGCAAT